CAGGTACCATGGGTGGACTGTTGGTTAAGCTGGTCCATCCAAAGCTGTGCTTTCCGACACAGTAGCCATTACTGTGTGGCTATTTAATTCACCCTTAAATTAATCAAATTAATTAAATTTAAAATTTAGTTCCTCAGTTGAACTAGTTATATTTCAAGTGCTGGATAGCAATAACTAGCAAGTCACTACTGTGTGTTAGACAGTAGAGATATAGAACATTTCCATCATCGTAGTTAATACTTTGGGATCTAAAACCCTGGAGAGTGGCTATCAAGGAAAAGGAACTTCAGATAGGCATCCCAAGAACAAAGACTTTGGTAATGAGGCTGAGCAACAGCTGGAAGAATGGAATTTAATCTTTTGTTCAAGGCCTAGCTAGTGAAGCCCTACAAGGGATTGTTTAATATGAGTAACAATCCAAACTGGCATCTGTGTTAAGTTGTGTTTTGTACCCTGATCTGTGATAAGTGGTTGGGAGTGAGTTGGTAGGGGAGCGATTGAAAGATTCCACAGGGCAGGAATGAGAGAGAGAACCTAGTCCATGAAAGGAGTGTTACGAGACTGTGTGTAGTGGTGGTCGCCATACTGAATGCCTGTCCTCTGTTTTTCATTTCACTGCCTTTCCCTGCCCTTTAAGATACAAAGGTATGCCCCTTGATAATAAATAGGTGGCCTCACTGCTACAGTGCTGAAGTATGTTTCAGTATCACTTTTCACATATTATGGGAATAGGGTGAAAGGCAAGCAGCTAGTTTATTCAAACTGAGCAAGAAAAGAATAAAATCTCTAATGTTGAATTTCACTGTGTTGAATAATTTTGTATTTCTTAAGCAAATATGACTCAGAATGTAGACCTGAGTGCATGGAAAACAAGGGAAACCTGTGTATGGATTGCATTATATGAATACAATCCCAAGTGCAGAGAAAGGTGTTAAGGAGCTTGCAGCAAAGCTGCATTTTGATTAGACGATTATAATAGCAGCTTACTTATACTTTTGGTGAGATGGTAAGTTAATGATGTAGTCGTTAATTTGAATTTAGCAGACATTTTAAATATAGGTTTCTCTTACAGAGACAAAAGTTGCAATTTAAAGCTCTTTGGTGGTCTAAAAACAGCTTAATTCTGTAGTAGCATGGTAATAAGTACTAATCCAGCTTATACAGTGATTGTAGTATGTCATGTTTGTGAAAGATTGCCCAACTGCTTTCTCTGGGTTTTATGTTAATTTAAAAATATTAAACATAAAACCTTATAACATCTTCATGCTGAGATAAACTGTTCAATTTAACTTGTGCTCAAGCAGCAGCTGTCAGGAATTATCTTGTTCCTAGTGGTTTTTGCTATCACCTTGTGCCCTCTCCTGCCAGACACGCAGTGTGGGATGATAAAGCTCACCTTGTTAGGATTTATTGCTTAAATAACACCTGCGGCAGGATGAACACCGGAAGCCTGGGGATTAGCTGCTGATTGAGTGATGTCACTCATTGTATCATTACAAACTTTTTTTTGACTGATGACAGGAAACAAAGTAAAAATTGCCTATAAATCATACCTGCGTTCCTTTTGCGGGCTTGTCCATTACTTGTTTTGGGGAGTCACTGAGCTAAGTATTTGAGGAGTTGTTTGTTGTACAATTTACAAGTGAACCATTTTACAAGTGAAAAAGCAAAGAGAACTAGTATAGAGATAATTTTCGCAATTGAGGAGTATGAGGACTATTTCAAGATTAGGAATACAAATATAATGAAGTTCCTGTTAATGACTGAACAAACTAAAGGAGATGTTGGTGTGGGCAGTCCCAAATAGTTAATAGTATGAAAATCAACCCTGGCTGGTGTAGCTCAGTGGATTGAGCGCAGTCTGGGAACCAAAGTGTCCCAGGTTTGATTCCCAGCCAGGGTGCATGCCAGGGTTGCAGGCCATAACCCCCAGCAACCGCACATTGATGTTTCTCTCTCTCTCTTTCTCTCTCTCTATCTCCCTCCTTTCCCTCTCTAAAAATAAATAAATAAAATCTAAAAAAAATTTTTTTTTAAATTAAAAAAAAAAAAGAAAGTCATTGCCATTTCACTTCTGAATGTATTGCATTGTTTCATTTGGGACTTTTATGTGGAAGGCCCAACTTCAGATTTGGATTCCTTGATTGCTGGTAGGTAGGGTAAGGAGAGGAGATATGTGGTAGAAGCAGAGTGAAGGGGTCTCCTTGGTTAAACATTTTCTACAGATGGTCCACCCTAAGGATCATGCTCACGTAAGAAATTAACAATTGGATTATGACTAGAAGTACGTATATGATGGGTTTATTGTTTATGGCAGGTAGCATAGTTTTCCCTTCTACTTATGGCCATTTTGTGCATATTCTCCCCAATTGTAGTTTTATAATGTATAACTTAACAAAAATTTGCAAGATTATATCAATGAATTACAGTATACCAATTGCTTAATTGTTAACATTTGCACATTTTTTATTACTCTGTGTAAATATATACATATGAGTAGTATTAGTAGCCTTTTGACAGTAATTTAAGAATTAGTTGCAGACATCCTGAAACTTCACACATAAATAATTCAACATGTATCTTCTAAGAATAAGGATAGTCTCCTATAGAAACCAATAAAATTATTACACTTAAGAAATTTAAGATTGATGAAAATTTACCACCTTATATTCCACCCATATTTAGAGTTTCCATGTTGTTCATGTAATGTCCTTTATAGCTTTTTTTTTTCCCCTCCAACCCATTATCCAGAGTGAAACTTTGTTTTGGGGTCTCTTCATTTTCCTTTAATCTAGGCTTTTTTTCTTTTATGACATTAACCTTCTTGGACATTCAGCCCAGTTATTTTGCAAGATACTTTTCTAATTGTTTCCTCATGACCAAATTCAGATCAGGCATTTTTGGCAGGAATAATATATGGGTGATTTGTATCTTTTTCAGTGTGTCACATTGGGAAATACATTATACCACTTTCTCTTATTATTGGTCATACTTATTTTTGATCACGTGGGTAAATTAATGTCTACCAAATTTCTCCATGATTAAGATACCCCCTTTTTTTTAAAAATTAACAAGTAGCAAAAGAGCTGCATTTAATGAAGTTTTCTCCCTTGTGTGTGGGAAACATTGAGCTTGCTTAGATCTTAATGATTAAGGATGAGTCATTGCTTGCAGTGGTGTGCTTGTTGGGTGTGGGGTGTGGGGATAGAGGGAGAGGCAGGAGAATTCCCCAGGAAGTAGAACCTCAAGTGGCCATCCAGTTTCTTTTAAGGAAAATATTGACTGAGATTCGTAGTTTGTTATTCTCTTTACTAAGGATAAGATTTGTAGATAACCAAATATTTTCATATTTCAGAATTTTCAGTCTAAGTTTTTGAAAGACTTGGTGGTACTGGGAATATTCTTGGTTAAAACAGGGCATTTTCTGACTATAGTTTTTCTATTTGCTTTAGTTGGATACACAAACACAATTGAAACAATAATGCATCTCCTTAGTAAGATTTTTTTTAACTTTAAAGCAACAAACCATGACATTAATATAGCAATGTGGGTTTAAAAGAAGAGATCACCACATTTCGATCGTATGTGCCATTTTTAGCCCATGAAGAAGACAATTGAATTCCTATTTATGATATATGCACTTATTATATAATCATTCTTCTCATGTGAAAGGCTAGTGCTGCAGATCATATAAACACCTGAAGTTAGCCATTCAGCTTGTCAGTGAGGGAGAATTTATAGTAGTTGTAATCATGGTAATAACAAACATGATATTTTGTATTTATTAAGTACAGAAAAAAAGTGTATTTGCAACCTAAGTCGTCCATGACCAATTCACGTCCATGGTGTAATGGAAAGCACATCTGGCTTAGAAGACTAGGAGTCCCTGCTTTGCCACTTTCTACCAGTGTGATGCCGGAAAACTCTAAACCTTCTTAGACCTCATTTTTTTAAATGGGACCAAAGCTGTAAGGGTCAAATGATGCTGCATTATGTTATAAAGGCATTCCATCAAAATTGTGCCATTTAAATGTACCTGTAAGTTTTACCTTTTTCATGTCCATACGTGGTAGACACCTCGACAGTGAAACATTTCCAGGTTGTCTCAGATAGTCATTACTATTTTCTGTTTGTTTCTTTAATACTTTGTATATGTCAGTGTCACAGGCAGCATTCATCTTAGTCTGTGGTCTTGTTCGTCTTTTCTCTCCTTCCTGGCTAGTCCCTGACACATAGTAGGCAGTTAGTAAATGATTGTGGAATGAATGAGGTAGTAGGTGTTTTCATTTGTAAATATAGATAGGTAAGCTTTGTTTCCTCCCCCTCCCCAAAGAAAAGCAATCAGTCTTCCTTCATTTTTTAAGCATTTATATTTTATATAAGGGGTTTTGCAGATTGTATATCTGGTGCCATTAGCAGTCCAGTAGTGGAGAAAAAGAAAACATTAGAAAAAAGACAGAAATATTGCAGAATATTTAAAAACGGGGGGAGTGGGACATGGTGAGAAAACATGCCAAGAGAAAAAGACCACACTAGATGTCTAGCGCGTAAATCAAAAGGGTTTATATAACATCAGCATGTGCCATTCCTGCTTGTATATTGAATTTCAGTAGTTGGTTGCATAAAGAAGTAAAGTGTAATGAAACTGGCAAGCAAAGTATTCCCTAGTCAGCCTTATCTTTGTTCCATTTGTCCTTCAGATAGAGCTTTTCTTGCCTTTTTCAATAAAATCCATCCAGCTTTTTTTTTTTTTTTTTTGCATCTCAGTAACTGAGCTGAGAAGACCAATAAGATTCAGAGCTTTTATAGTTCTTAGCAGCTGCTTTTTCAGAGATCAAAACTTAGAATGCTGCTACATGGTATTAATTCTTAACTATTGATGTGTCCCTACAGAGAACATGTTTTTCTGGGAGTAGGATAAGGAGAGAGGAAAGGAGGGCAAAGGACAGCCCCGTTCAAGCGTGCTTGGGACAGTAAACCCTAATTTCCTTATTTCCTAGGCTCCTCTTTGCAAGCTCAGTGCTTAACCTGACTGAACTGATTGCCCTTCGGCCTGACCTTGGGAAATTGAAAAAGATTCTGTACTTCCACGAGAACCAATTGGTGTATCCTGTCAAGAAATGTCAAGAGAGGGATTTCCAATATGGATACAACCAAATTCTCTCATGGTAGGTATCAGTGGTATCATTATATTAAGTCCTTCGCTACCTTTTTCTTAATAGGTGGTTAGCTTTTAAATCTGGAGACCTATTGCGCACTTATTTTAAAACACCTTAAAGTAGGTACAAATGTTTAAACATACCTTCCATAGTAGTAATTACTCGTGCCTCTGAGTATATGTATAAGATCACAGCTAATCCTTTTATAGAGTACACTAATTAACTATTTTCTACAACATTCGGAATAGAATCAAAGGGTCACAGGGAACTTCTTTACTCCTTGATTCTCTCCTCTGTTGTTTAAGGCATACTTTTAGGAAAGGGCAGGCAGTCTGCTCTTATTTGCCAACCACTTTCAATGCATCCAGCTAAAATCAAAATAGAAATTTTCAGAGGCATAAACACAAAATAAGGCATAATGGAGCAAGGGTTTTTGGGGTTTTCTTTTTATTGTTTGTGAGAGAAAACTATAGAAAATGAATCTTTAGGTAGTTACTGGTATTTTTTCCCCTCGAGTCTTCTGAAATCGCACAGCCTTAAAATACCATGACATTTCAAAGGTGATGGTCCTTCTCTATTGTTACTTCAACGAAGTCCATCTCCTGAAGCTTACTTAATGAAAGAAGTTAATAACAACTCCGAAAGGGCCTTGCTGTTGGATCCTGTTCACATCACTGCAATAACCAAATGCACTAAGTTGTGGCTGTGATTGGGAACTTTTTACTCATTTTTTTTTTCTTTTTGGTGCTGAAACCTGGGAATGTTACTCACCTTTTTTAATGGTTATTAGCAGTCGGGATTAATGATGTGTTTAAAAAGACTTCCAGCTCTTGCGAGTATATTCCAAGTTTTGTTGACATAGAAAAGCAGCTAAATGGTAATACTTCTGTGTTTTGAGCATTTTGTAAATGTTTTCCTGCAATCATTTTTACAAGCTGCTTCAATTGTGAAGTAGCAGTGCTATCAAAATAGAGTGGAACTGCTTCACATCAAATGTCTCATAAAAAAGCAACCATTTTAAAATTTCATAATAAAATTAAAATACTTTATTTTATATTGAAACAGAGAAGGGAAATATGTTTTAAAAACAAAAATAAAATCATTTTGTGCTTTATCAATATGGAAAACATTTGTAATATTCTTTTGATTTCTTGAATTAGCATCATTCTTTTCCTCAGATAGTACATGTTTATTACCCTTGAGAAATAACTGGGGGAAAAAATTAAGCCTATTTTTCCCTTTATGGGTGGCTTTAAAGTTAATGGAAGTTACACTCACTCATATCAGGGAGGAAATGCGTGAGAAAGAGTATTTCTACAAACTGTCTTGGATCTTTAATTTAGCATAGACTGGGTTTTTAAGAATGTAAGTAGTTGGGTTGCATGCAGATATTTGAAAAACATTTAGCTTACTCCCCCTCATCTCTCTCTTTCATAAAAGATTGTTTTTGCTCGTAGGGAATGAGACTATAAAAACTCATACTTGATTTTTCAATATCGCTCTTCTCAAGAGGGTAAACTGATAGCCAAGTTTGCAGAGAAAGAAGTGGTCTTGATCACTGGTTGGCTTCTTGATGAGAAAATGGTTCACATTTGTCCAGAGGAAAAATAAGTGTCAGAAAACAGTCCTGTTCAGATTCACTTTGAAAAGCATGACTCCTGCTTCCTCAAATGTTTCTTTAGTTTTCTTGCTGACTTCTGCTTTTGTTGGCGCTGGCAGATTTCTCTCTTGACCGTGTGGCAGTTAAGGACTTTAGAGATGACTGACATAAGCACTCACCTTAAATAGAGGTTTCACTAACCCCTTGACTTATGAACACATGTCGTAACTGTATCTTATGACCTGTGGGTCGCTATTACAATGTGTGACACATGGTGAAAACAGACTAGCTGTAAAACATCCTTCAACTCTTGGTGTGTGCTTATATTGGCTTCCTTATTGCTTGGTGTGTCAGCACTTCTGTGACATCCTTTTGTATTATCCATGTTGTAATCACCCGTACACCCAAATTGGCACTAGGTCACAACTAAAAAAAAAAAAAAAAACATACATGGAAAAGCAGTTTTGTTGGGGAGGCATAGGGGAGGCAGGTCAATGTTCTTTTTGTTGGTTTTTCATTCCTCTGTGTATTAATAAGGGGAACTTAAGCTGTCTCAGTAAATGTGAATTCAACTAAACTGAGGATTTGCTATGGTATATATTCCTGTTCTGTAAGCTCTGCTTATTCATTTGTGTTTTGCAGTGTATGGACTTACATTTCTTTTACATTCCTTGACCTACCATTTCTAAGGCAGAATAAAATTTTATTGGACCTTGTATTCCTTTTTATCAAAGTGTTTATATTCGTTTTATTGAGATCCAGTGACGGTGAAACTGAATCATTGCTTAAAGTGGTGATTTTCAGCCTTTCTCATCTCATGGCACACATACAGTAATTGCTAGAATTCTGCGGCACACCAACAAATACATCATAGTTTTTGCCGATCTGACAAAAAAAAAATAGGTGTAATTTTGATTCATTGACACTGGACAGCTATTGTTGTATTGGCTATAGTCATTTTTCCATTTGAAAATCTAAGGGAAAGGAGGTCAGTGCCCCTGACTAAATTGTCAGCTTTGCATGTTTTAAACATTCTATGCTATTTCTAGATCTTGGCTAATTACAAATATTTCTGAGAACCTGATCATGAAGCACTTTTGAGACTACAAAAGTTCTGTCCTATCCTCATTCTGTTATAATATTCTGAAATTTAAGTAAGAATTTAGCAAATACAGGCAAAGGGTATAGAAAATAAAGCTCTGTTTCATTAAAAATGAAAATTCTTGGGCCATAGCATCGAAAATTGCTGGCTTAAATCAAAGAAGGCCATTTAAAAAAAAATTAAAGCAGGTCAGATCGAGGGTGGAAGGTGGGGATAGCTGAGGTGGGGAGTGGAGAAAAAATTAAAAAATTAAAACAATGATTTATTTTAAATCACTTTTTTGACTCATAAAGGGAACATACTAATATTTATACTACATACAGGGTGGGCAAAAGTAAGTTTACAGTTGTTGGTATGGAAAATAGTACAATAATTAAATAATTAATAAATGATAATACGAGAATATAAATCTAGTTTGTGTACTCACAATTGTAGACCTACTTTTGCTCCTCCCTCCCCCCCGTATTTAAAGTTTTATCCAGCTCCTATCCATGGTTCTCATTTGTGTTCATTGGTTTCTGAGAAAATGTTATATAGACAATTCTGAAAACTGCTGATGTATTTATGACACATAAACTTTGTTTTCACATTACCTTAAAACTATGTATTTTAGATTGCTTTTATTTCAAAAATATTATGGGGAGGAGCACAATCTTTTAATCTAAACTAACAACCAATATTATATTTATTTTGTTTAATTCTGAAAGTTCATGATGTTGTAGTTCTTTATAATGCATTCCTTTATGTAATCAGCTCTACCAGTTTCTTCTACTTCTCTGGCTGTTCCAGATATTCGTAATGAAGTAAGTTACTTGCAGAGACCACATTTAATCCCTCCTGTATAGGGCCAGAACTTTATAAAACCAAGTTTCTTGAAGCAAGGGTTAAGAAAATAAAGACTTTAACCACATATTTTGAAGGTATGCTTTAGTATGAAATAGCTTTATCTGAATTAGTATCTTTGAAGGTAGTGAAAAATATGGCAAAATTCTGTTCTCAGTAGTATGGTATAAAACAATATACATCACTGACATAGAAACCCAGCACGGGTAGTTGGGCCACAAAGAAAAAGGTCTTAGTGTACTTTTGTTGTTGATAATATAGACAGTTCCTGACACTGTGGAAAAATATACTTGGGTTTGAAGCCTCATAGGATTGCATTAAATCATTTAATTCCTTTCCTGCCTTTCCTCCCTGATGACAACAATCTAGTTTTCTATGATATAATACTAATAAAACTAACTTATCTATTAGAGGCATTTTGATAAATACTTATGGAAGTGCAGAGGTTTTTGCAAACTGAAGGTGCAGTGTAAACTCTGATTAATATCAAGGTCTTGCTCTTGTAACTGAATGTGGACTCATGATTTGTATTTATCCTTTCCCTTTGCAGCCTGGTAGCTGATGTAGTGGTATTCAACTCGGTTTTTAATATGCAGTCATTTCTCTCTTCTATTGGGAGATTTATGAAGCTGATTCCTGATCACAGACCTAAGGATCTGGAAAGCATCATCAGACCCAAGTGCCAAGTTATTTACTTTCCCATCAGGTTTCCTGATGTGAGCAGGTCAGTGTGTTTGACTCTCTTTTCAATATTGTGTCAAATTATTTCCCAAACGTATAGGAATTGGTGTTTTTCTTGCCAATTTTAACTTCTCAGCATAAGCATGGTTAATTAGAGAATCGAGTTCTATTTCACCATGCTGTGATTTGCAAAGATTTTAAATAATCATTTGTCCCACCTATCACTGAATGGTTACTTCTGATATTGAGTTCTTCCTTTATTTTCTCCTATTTGTTCGCCAAAAAAGCTATTTTAGCTTTTAACACTTACTGTTTTTTTTTATTTTTTGTGTTGTTAAAGAAGTCATTGCCACACATATTTCTTAACCTTTGCAATCAGCTTCTACCCATTGGTTTATATGTATAATAGTAACTGTTCTAAGTAAATCAATGTTCCGTTTCACTGCTTGTATTACTTTCATTTCCCATGCTATTCTACTTTTTTCCTTCTTCCCTTTTTAAAAATTATTTTTATTATCTTAATAAAAAGTTGGGTATTCTGTGTTAGGTCACAAATGCATTTAATTGCCATTTCTCTTTCTCAGTTATGAAGGACATATTTTATTACCCTTGCTGCTGGGCTCACCCTGAATTACCAATGGATGCTGTGGCTCAAAGGGAACATTCTAGAATTCCTTTTCACTTTTGATTAAACCTAGCAAAATTGTTTTTACTACCACCAGAAATATTTCTCCCTTGTGAATAGTAAGTTTGCTTCAGTGGGACTCACACTAGCTGGGGATGCTGCTGGTTTGTAACTGACTCTGTCCTTAAAAAGAGTTCAGGGACGGCTGTTTCTTCCCCATCCTTGAAAGGAAGGCAGGAAACCATTTAATGTCCATATGTGCTGTGCAGGAGGTCAGCATTACTTTCTGTGTTCTCAGCTTTCAGAGTTTGCCCAGGTTTGCTGTGGAGACAGTTGTCTTCACCCATACCCAGTAATGCTGTTTTATTTAATATTTAATTGAAGAAAAATCAGCCTAATACAAAGTCAAATGAGTGAGTTACAACATTTACATTAGAACACCTTGCTCAATCCTTAGTTTATGGAGTTCAGAAAACAGGCTCAGAGAGGCAGAGACTGTCTTGCACGCACACAGCTGGTTATTGTCACAGACTGTATTAAAGTTTAAACCCTGCAAGTTTTCTGTTACTGTCCAAGCTTCCTGTCACTATAGGTCATTTGTCAAATCATTTCATGTTTTATTTACGGTTTGGAATACTATCAAGGTGAGTGAAACTAAGATAATTGATTCTCAGGTATATATTTATATGTCCAAGTACACATAATATATATTTGTATAAATACAGTTTTCTTATGTATGATGAGAGAATTACAACTTTTGAAAATACAGCTATATTTAGATCCATGATTAGCTCAAACACAGCTTATACTTCAGGTCATATTTTTAAAATATGAACCTTATTTTTGAGATGTTTTTAAGTTTTTTATATAACATATAGTCAAACTATACATCTTTAAGGTGAATAGGTGGTTATACCACATCTTACTTATTATTGCAATAGAATTCCAAATAAATAATGTTTTAAATTTATTTGCATATCATATATTCCTCTATTATCATATGCTTAATATACCTATGGCAATTGAATAGTTTATTAATTTGGACTGTATTACCATTAATACATCTAGCTAAATGGAAGAAGGTTAAGAAATATTGTGGACAAGATAACATTCATAAGCAAGGTCTTAGCCCAGAGTGTTATTTGAATTATTTTCAAATGGTAATTTTCTTTATCCAACCCAAACTCATATAGTGTAAGTAAGTGATTATTTGCATGAATGACAATCACTCTAATGCCTGCAGTCTTAAAAGAGTATTATTTTGTTGAGATGTTGAAAAATACTTAGTAATTCCAAAGGCAAAATAACCAAGTTGATTTTTTTAAAAAGACAATTTTTGAATGCTTATATCTTTCTCCCTATTCAGATATTATTTGGTCATGGCAAAAATGGATTTAAGTAAAAACAAAGCAGAACATACAATTAGATTATTAATACAATGTGCTATAATAATATGTGATAATGGATATTAATTAATCAGGGAGGGTAACAGCTCTATTTAGCAAATATATGAGGCTTTATAGCATTGATGACTGTTAAAACTCCGTGTATGTCTGTCACATAGAAATTTAATATTTGGCTTATGGCACCTGCTGTTATCTAATGTCCTCCTCACCCCGCCCACCCCACTGCTTCATTCTCAAAGACCAGAACAACAGTATAAAGAAAGAATATTCACTTTAAAACATTTCATTATATGCATTAAACATTTTGGGATGAGAAATCCCTTAAACACTGTGGTCACACATGCATGCATTTGATCTTGACCCCCTAAGTAGCTCTGTGACCTATGTGGGTATAGTTAGTGACTCTGAGCCTGGGTTCTTTAATGGTTGTGATTATTTTTACCTTATTGCCTCATAGGTGTGACCAAATGAATTAATGTATGTCAAATGCCTAGCAGAGCACCTGACATATAGTAGACGCCCAATAAAGAAGAATTTGTCTTATTAATACACCCATACCATTGTTTTATAACCTAACACATTTATTGCCACCTGAATATAAAGGACAGTCTTCTTCTCCTCCCTTTATTAATCAACACATGAAAATAAATAACTAAAAACAGAGAGAGAGAGAAGTACTCTGCTAAAGGAGCATCCTTATATTAATAAAGAGATTAATTAATTAATTTTCTTTATCACTTTGACTCAGACTTTTGACCTTACCAGAACCCGCCATCCATTGATTGAGCCAACTCCTTACTTAAAAAAAAACAACTTTATGTATTTATTTTTAGAAAAATGAGAAGGGATAGAGAAAGAGAGAGAGAGAAGCCAACTCCTTACTTTATTCTTATCTTGCTCTAATTTTCCTCCTCCTTTCTCCAGCTTAATTTCCATATTCTATTCTAACACTCTCTTGCATGTACTCTTAAATCTGTTGCACCTTTTTCTCTGTATTTGATAAGATGAAGACATACAGCCATACTTACTAGTCTGCTCTAAATTTATGACTCCTAAATTCAGATGGAATCTTTGATCTGCCTGGCAAGCATGCCACATTTCCCTTCTTTTAAGTAACTAATCATACATTTTCCTTTCTTTATAAACCTCTAATACTAAATCTTCTATCTCCATTTTCAGATCATGACAGAAAATAGGAGCAATCAGAAGAGAATTTCTGTACTCTGCCAGCACCACCTCAATGCAGTTATGTGCTCCTGGGTGCATAGTGTCCTCCTGCACACCTGTTACTATGAGGAAGTGACCTCAGTTCTGTCTGAGGCCCTTCCTTATCTCCACTTCTTTACCAGAGCCTTGCTTTCTCCCATACCTAAGGACTATCATTCCAGCAAGTTTTTCTTCTTCATTCCACCTCATCAGCTTTCCTTTCTTCTGTATCATTCCTACTAGTATACAAAAAAAATGCTATTTTTAATGTCTTTTTACAAAATGCTCTCTTCCTTCCACTTACTTCTTCCTTCTGCTACTGCCTCATTTCTTTCTTTCTCTTCGGAGCAAAGCTTCTTGACAGGGTTGTATATATTTGTTGTTTCTAATTTTATTCCTACTGTTCTCTCTTAGAGCTTCTTCCCTGAACCGTTTTTGTGAAGGTCACATATGACTTCCATGCTGTTGCATCCTGTGGTCAGTTCTCAGTCCTCATTTTATGTAACATAGCAGTAGCAATTGACACACTGTCACACTTCGTTTAGCTTCTAGGCACATAGGTTGCTGCTTCGCAGACTTGTTGCTAGTTCCTTATCATTACTCTGCCCTTTAAGTTTGGACTGGTCTTTGACACTCTTAATACTTAAGGGGTTGGTAGAGGAAGAGCGGAGGATTGAAATGAGAAAAAAAGATAAAGGAGTCAGGAGGTCAACAATGAGAGAATTATCTTCTGGAATCAAGGGAAGAGAGTTTTAAGGAAATGGTCAGTAGTGAAGTCAGAGGAGTGAGGTTAAATAATGTGGTGACCAAAATGTATCCTTGAATTTTTCAGCTGAAGTGTCAGAGGTACCCCTCCCTGCATTCTGTTAACTCACAGAAAAGTTTCATATGTTCTTTCAGGTAGCCAGAGAAACTTGGGATTCAAGTCCAGATGAGATCTCTTTCTCTTTGCATATCTCTGTTTTTTACATACACACACAGATTTTATGGATGAAGGCCCCAAGGCCCAGAGAAGTTTAGTGTCTGCTGGTAAAAACAGAGCAGGAACTAGAACTCAAATCTCAAAATCTCCATCCAGTGCCCAGCACACCACTTATTGTAAATGTAATTTCAGAGGTCTTGATTATCTGATTTTTCAGCTGACAGCAGATTAGCACCATCAAAATGGGGGTGCAGTAAAGGCAGGCTCATTGACAGCAGTATAAAGTGACAGCTGACTGACAGCTTGACAACAAGGGAGGGGAGAGATAAACTATTAAAAAAAAATAAATGAGAAGTGAAAAAGCCTAGCAGCCTGGAGGCATTCTGTGGCAGGGCAGGCAACTCTGACATTGAAGAACCCTGCAGACAATTTTCCATTATCGTACAGCTTGTACATAAAAAGGATAACTGTGATTTTATTAAGAAAGTACATGGTAGCCAGTAAATTCTGTTTAAGAATGTAAGGAAATGCACAAGCTGCTTTTGGCAGAAATTATAAGTGAAGGTAAGCATTATGCCCTACTGTAGGGCATTCATGAGCCGTATATTTGGAAGCTAATGGACATCCAGTCCCTTTTTTCAGCAGTGCTCTATCTGTAAGCAGGTGACAGGGTGCATTTCAATAAGCCATCTTTTTAGATCCTTCTGATTGGAGATGCTTCATGGACCAAACTTTTCTTTGCTGCTGGTGTTATGTGCACTAGCTTCTTTGGCACTGAAGACATCCAGAGCTGCCAGATGGATGACCTGGTGGTCAACAGAACAGATTTTGCCATATTAATACCATGTCTTAGCCTGTTTGGGCTGCTATAAAAGAATACCATA